CACCGGAAGAATCCGAACGCCCCTCGTCGACTCAACGCTGCTACCTTTGGTGGTCTCAACTTTCAGCCAATGCCTTCGCTGCTGACTGAAGCACATTGCCGCTCCGGATGGGAGATGGGCAAGGGCACCTCGCATGAGGTCATGCGCCGTTGAGGGGGGGGTAATGTCACGAGTTGGTACGGCGTCTAGCCGTTTTTTAATTTTTTCCTTTTTGCGGGCTCGAACCCGCGACCTCTGTACTACTTGCCTGATATGGACGCGTCGCTATCTACTGTACGATCAGATTAGATAGGACGGCAGTGCACGGCACAGCTCGGGCCCCGCTGACACAGCCGCTCTGACTCACCGGCCCCCGGGGCCGCGTCGGCATGCTGTGCACGGACCAGCTGCGCACGGACCAACGCGCACAGCCTGCCCTAATCTCCCCATGTATATAAGCCTGCCTCTGCTGCCCTAGGGACCTCAGTTTCAACCTCTTGTCCCTAGGTCAGTAAGCCCCTCATGTATTCTCTTTCTTACTTAACTAACTAATACATTTCTTGTCCCTAGCCTTAGGTTCAAGCCTAGCTCACCATCGCTTCGGTAAGAACCAGTCGAACGCCCCCAGCTTTTAGGTTTTCTCCTGTCGCTCGACCCCAAGTCGCGACACTAGCGTCAGATGATACATCATTTTGACACATACACCTAATCACCAAGCTAAAGTCTGTGCACTTACATCTTCATGGGTGCAGAAATGTCAAATATTTCCTAAACAGACACTGCTGAGTGATTGTATATACCTGTGTATATTTCACTAACCCTCTGGAGTAATACGACCACAACATCTGCTGCATTAAGCCTGACTACAAGCCTGTGATTATATACTTTAGCATGACATCATGGGCAAGGCAATATACTTATGCAAAGTGAACAGTACCTACATACACATTTGTATCACCACAATCACATTCAATAACAAGTTAGAGAACACTGTCACGAGTTGGCACAGCATCTAGCCGTTTTTAATTTTTTCCTATTCACAGGCTCGAACCTGCGACCTTTGTACTATACACTTGAACGGACAAGTCATTATCTACTGTACGATTAGATTAGATGGGCAGCAGTGCACGGCACAGCTCAGGCTCCACTGACATAGCCTCTCTGACTCACCGGCCCTTGGGGCTGCATCAGCATGCTGCGCACAGATTAGTTGTGCACGGACCAGTGCGCACAGCCTCCCCTAAACTTCCCCTGTATATAAGCCAGCCTCTGCTGCCCTAGGAACCTTAGGTTCGCCCTCTTGTCCCTAGGTCAGTAAGCTTTCATATATCTGCTTACTTACCTATACCAACTAATACATTTCTTGTCCCTAGCCTTAGGTTTGAGTGTTGCTCACCATCACTTCAGTAAGACTCAGTCGAATGCCCCCATCCTCTAGGTTTGTTCTTTTCCTATCACTCAACCTCAAGTTGCAACATTAGGTCGAAACTCCCCCTCGCTGCCGGTGTTCACAAAAATGCAACTCCTACACTCACTTTCCTTTCCCAAAGGTCGGGTGGTGCGCACCCCTACAATACCCTACAATATGTAGATAAGCATACTATACATCACCACCACTCAGGAAACAAACTTTTCAGTACCTGCACTTCAGTGGGCGGTACTTGTCCTCACAGATGCATGGACTAGGTTCCTGCTGCATACTAGGCAAAAGCAGTATTGGGCCCTACGTGAACTGCAAATCTCAGTGTCATCTTGGGTGCCATAGGTGTAAGCTAGTTTACAATGGCCTTTTGTGGTACGCACACCTCCCCGTCCTCCCCTCATCCAACATGGCTGCCTGTCAAGGCCTCATTCACACATTCGATTCTCAGAACCTCATTGACGTCTACATCCCAGATGGTCCTGACACCCTCATCCTCACCTGCGAGCAGCAGTTGTCGCGACTTGGGGTCAAGCGACAGGAACAAACCTAAATGCTGGGGGTGTTCAACTGGGTCTCACTAAAGTGATGGTGAGCTTACACTCAAACCTAAGGCTAGGGACAAGTAAGTTAGCATAGAAAGGTAAGTATGTACAGGGGCTTACTGACCTAGGGACAAGAGGTCGAAACTGAGGTCCCTAGGGCAGCAGAGGCAGGCTTATATACAGGGGGAGTTTAGGGGAGGCTGTGCGCGCTGGTCCGTGCGTAGCTGGTCCGTGCGCAGCATGCCGATGCGGCCCCGGGGGCTGGTGAGTCAGAGCGGCTGTGTCAGCGGAGCCCGAGCTGTGCCATGCACTGCCGCCCCATCTAATCTAATCGTACAGTAGATATGATGTGTCCGTATCAGGCAAGTAGTACAGAGGTCGCGGGTTCGAGCCCACGAAAGGGAAAAAATTAAAAAACAGCTAGACGCCATACCAACTCGTGACAATACCCCCCCTCAACGGCGCATGACCTCATGCGAGGCGCCCTTGCCCATCTCCCACCCGGAGCGGCAGCGTGCTTCAGTCAGCGGTGAAGGCATCGGCTAAAAGTTGAGACCATCAAAAACAGCGGCATTGAGGTGGCGAGGGGTGTTCGGGTTCTTTCGGTGGAAGTTGGCTATGAGGGCCGGCGCATTGGCAACATTGCGCGCCGGTTCCCATGACGTATGCAAGTCATCATAACCCTTCCACTTGACAAGATACTGCAGCTGACGCCGGAAGATCCTCGAGTCCTTGATCTGCTCAACCTTGTACTCCTCGTCACCCTCGACCTCGATCGCAGGTGGCTCCTCCAGCTCCCGGCCTGGGATATTGCTACGTGTGTACTTGCTAAGCAAGGAGACATGGAATACCGGGTGCACTGGCACCGACTTCAGCAGGACTAATTCATAATCCAAGTCTCCAAGCTTTCGCCGCACAGTGTAAGGTCCGAGGCATTTGGGACTGAGCTTCTTGCTCGGCTGTTTTAGCTTAAGGTTCTGGGCATCAAGCCAGACCTTGTCCCCCAGCACAAAGACCGGTGCCTCCTGCACGTGCTTGTCGTAGTACACTTTCATGCGCTCGGCTGACAGCTCGAGCGCAGAGCGCATGTCATCGCGAATCTCCTTCAGGATCTTAAGTTGATCGGCGGCGGCGGGCATCACAGACATCGGATTGATCCGCACTTGGATCTCAGGATTGTACCCTTGATGCAGGAAGAAAGGGGAGTGCCCAGTTGCGGAGTGAACTTGGTTGTTCAGTGCAAACTCTGCAAGCGGCAACTGCTTTGCCCAATCATCCTACCTGTGGCTTGTGAAAGCACGCAGGTACTGCTCAATTTCCTGATTCCAACGCTTGGTCTAACCGTCTGTCTGAGGGTGGAACACTATGGACAGCGCCGGCTCGATCCCAAGTCCCTTGTACACCGTATGGAGATACTTCAAAGCGAACTGGGGACCTCGGTCGAATATGACCTTGGCCGGGCCCCATGATGCTTGAATACATCACAGATGTACAGGTCTGCTGCGCCTTCTGCCGTCAGGGTCTCCTGACAGGCTGAGAAGTGGACCTGCTTGGTGAAGCGGTCGGTGGTAACCAGGATCGAGTCGAACCCATCGGACTTCGGCAAGCCGACGATCATATCCGTGGTGATGATCTGCCACGGGCACTCGGGGATCTCATTCGGCTTCAGCGGACCCTGGGGCTTGGCTGGGAATGTCTTGGTATGGTTGCACACGTCGTAGGTGCTCACGTACTCATTGATGAATTTGGACATCCCAGGCCACCAGTAGTTCCGCAACACGAGCTCCAGGGTTTTGGCACGGCTGCCATGACCGGCAATCAGCGAGTCGTGGTGGATCTTGACTATATCCCGCCGGAGCTCTGCGTTCTTTGGGATATATACGCATCCGTGGAACAACAGGAGCCCTTGTTCGGCATTCCACTCCTCAAAACCCCTTTGTAGCCGGGGCGGCCCGAGGTCCTGCACTTTTTCAAGCGCCTCAGCCACCTCCTGATCTTTCTCCGAGCATTCCCGGATGCGCTTCAGAAGCGACTGATCGGCCGTCACCGAGGCATGACTGCGCCTGGCGGAGGCGATGCGGAAGCGTTCTGGCTTGAGAACCACCTGATCGGTGTTATCGTCCTCATCGCCGATCTGATGGTCTGATCGACGTGACAGGGCATCAGTGTCATGAGTTGGTATGGCGCCTAGCCGTTTTTTAATTTTTTCCTTTTCGCGGGCTCGAACCCGCAACCTCTGTACTACCTGCCTGATATGGACGTGTCACTATCTACTGTATGATTAGATTAGATGGGGCGGCAGCGCACGGCACAGCTCGGGCCCCGCTGACACAGCCGCTCTGACTCACCGGCCCCCGGGGCCACGTCAGCATGCTGTGCACGGACCAGCTGCGCACAGACCAACGTGCACAGCCTGCCCTAATCTCCCCATGTATATAAGCCTGCCTCTGCTGCCCTAGGGACCTCAGTTTCGACCTCTTGTCCCTAGGTCAGTAAGCCCTCATTTGTATTCCTTTCTTACCTTACTAACTAATACATTCACTTGTCCCTAGCCTTAGGTTTGAGCCTTGCTCACCATCGCTTCGGTAAGAACCAGTTGAACGCCCCCAGCATCCTTCAAAGTCTGTGTTTCCCCTGTCGCTCGACCCTAAGTCGCGACATTAGGTCGAAACTCCTCACTGCTGCCGGCATTCTCAGAACCCACACACTCACTTCCTCTCCTATAGGTCGGGTGGTGCGCACCCTTACTATACTATACGATACGTAGATAGCCTACGATACATCGCCAACACTTGAGAAACGAACTCTTCAGTACCTGCACTTCAGTGGGCGGTACTTGTCCTCACGGACGCGTAGCCTTGGTTCCTGCTGCATAATAGTCAAAAGCAGTATTGGGCCCTACGTGAACTGCGAATCTCAGTGTCATCTCGGGCGCCGTAGGTGTAAGCTAGTATAGCACGGCCTTTTGTAGTACGCGCACCTCCCCTTCCTCCCCCCATCCAACGTGGCTGCCTGCCAAGGCCAAGTTCACGCATTCGACTCACAGGACCTCATCGATGTCTACATCCCAGACGGTCCTGAGACTATCATCTACCATTGCGAGCAGCAACCGTGCCCGAACCGAACACCCCGATCGATCCCAGAGGACTACCCGCGCTACAAAGCGATCCGACGAGCGCAACACCCGCTCGGACCCCGAAGCACCCTCATATCTCGATCAGCCTCGCGGCACTCTTGCCCTGTCTCCCCTAGCTCCCGTCTCCCTCAAACTGTCGTCACCGATCCAGATCAAGCGCGAGGAGATCTCCCTCCAGACCCTGCGCCAGAGCCAGAGCCTGAGGAGAGTGAGGGTGAAGAAGGAGTCTCGGAGTCCGAGTCCGAGGATTCTGTTGGGTCCGCCTCGCCGACAGCGTTCGCCCCCGCGTCAGCAGTCCCTGACGTACGTGACCCCCCCGCCGAACTTCCTCCGGCGCCTTCACCGCCGACTCCGCCGAGAGGCCGCTCGAGCACTCGCTCCTCTCGAAGTTCGGCCAGCGGAAGGCCACCACAGCCGCCTCCGCCCCCGCAGCGTCCTCCGTCCCCCCCGACGCCGATAATGTCTTCTCCCGCCGCTGCACCTGACAAGGAGACCCTGAAGCTCCTCCTCCCCCTCCGCTATGACGGCAAAACCGTCATTGAATGCGACAGGTTCTTGTCGCAACTTCGTATCTACTGGTTGATCAACACGTCGTTGACGACC